TCTGTTCTCCATGAGATTATACATAGAGAATGAGTATATAATTAAGCTTATCAATTTAAACAGGATGGACAATCTGAGCTCAAAGTTTACAAAATCAGTTTTGCAATTATTGTATTTCCTCATAAACTTCTTCATTTTGTTTCTCGCCACTTTCCCTCTGAAGCCCCATATTGTAATATCCGGGACTCTCGGGTTTTTCCTGTAACGACTGATACTCAGAAGGAACATGAGACTCCTGGTTCGAAGGCCTGGGTTTGAGTTCCATATATGTGTTTGGGTCTGAAGCTTGTTCGTTACTTGACAGTTGATAAGGTGAAGATTTGACGCCATCAAAGTCAATTTCTTCATTACTCTGTATTGTTTTATTAGGAACAGCTCGTCTTCGCTGCCATATCAGCCCACAAATTATAATGAGCAACACGAACACAATAAAAGACAATGCGATGATACCGGCAAGTAAGATGCTTTGTGTGTCTGGTAAAAGAAAACAGACAACTTTCGAACCAGCTATCAAATATTGCTTAGTTACTTTGTTTCAGTGCATTGGTGTTTCTCTTTTTTCAGTTGAATTACATTAAGGAATATGACGTTTCTTTTAACCTCGAAGCACGAATACAATTTCAAACTTTCTGCTGTCTCGTCTCGTGGTAGAACTTCATTGAGTGCTAGAAAGTTCGAATTCCTCTAACTCGAAATTTCGTTGTCAAGTCACATATATGACCTCCAGAAATCTCGAACCGGGAGGGAAACCAATAAGAGAAACAAAGACATTATTTAGCCTTGAGTCCTCTCAACAATGGCACTTGTAGCTCCGTTTTGATCTAGTTACAACCTAACAGCTATTCTCATGTCAGGCATGATCGACCTGCACACTTACAAATTTTCTAACTAGAGAAAGAAAATCCAACTTTACACTGAAAAACGTCGGTGTATGAGACCAGTACATAAGGTTGCTTTTGCTACTGACAAGATTAAACCTGTGTAAACAGCTGTAAAAAGAAGCCTAAAAACTTCATACCGAACTTAAAAGTTCTGGGCTTTCCAAAATATTTTAGAAGAAACCTTTAAGCGGTTTCGAATTTTAAAGAAGAATATTTACCGTCATCGAGAACTTGATTACCTGTAGGAGCAACCAGAGTGATTTTGTACATTGTTGACCCAAAGGTGTTTGTAGCGTGGCACATATAATCCCCATAATCTTGTGCATCCCGTGGTGTGACAATGAGACTGTTATTCAATAACTTCACGTTATCAGCAGTTGGAACCTGACCATCCTTAGTCCAAGAGGAGTTAAACGGAATTA